ATTTACCATAAAGGAAAAGGTTGACACAAACGTCTTGGTAAGTTTAATAGTAAAGGCCAGTTTTCAAATGATTTACTAAGCAGTGATCTGTGAGGTGTTGTTTTAACTTTACCTCTGACCTCTCTGTTTTCTCTGGTTCTTCATGATGCTGTTTGTTCACAAATGTTTACTAATAATTCTTCGAGCCTTTTAAAAATCAGCTGGATTTATTTTGTTGTAGGTATGCAAATGTCTTTCTTCAACCGGTAACAGATGAAATTGCTCCTGGATACCACAGCATTGTTCACAGGTAGGCACTAAATCCATCTTCAGCTGTAAAAAAAAAAAAAAAAAGTTAAAACTTTCATAACAACTTTTCCTTTGTTATTTTCTCCCATAGACCCATGGACCTGGCCACCATCAAAAAGAACATTGAGACAGGTTTGTTACGGACCACGGCTGAGTTTCAGAGGGACATCATGCTGATGTTTCAGAACGCTGTCATGTACAATGGGCTGGACCATGACGTGTACCACATGGCTCTGGAGATGCAGCGGGACGTCCTGGAGCAGATCCAGCAGTTCCTGGCAACCCAGCTCATCATGGAGACGTCCGAATCTGGAATCAGTGCAAAGAGCCTGCGGGGCCGCGACAGTACGCGCAGACAGGACTCCACTGACAAGGTGAACACCAAACCAGGGCGGCCTTAAGCATCAGGCTGGTAGAAAAATTGAAGAACATTAGAACAACTAAATATTCCATCCACTTAGTTAAGTTCTGAAGCTTTGCAACTTTAATGAAAAATCAAAACTTACTATAAAAAAAAACAACCTTTTTCTTCTCTTGTTTTTTACCAATTTATTTCAATTGCTATTTTATTTCTATTTTTGTCTGACACGTTTAGCTGTTAAAGGTTTAATTGTTTTAAAGGCCTTAAATGTCACTACCTGCAACTCCCTCTTTCCTTCTGTGTGGTGACAGACCCACTAAAAGCGTAACACTGCCACCTAAAGAGCTGTGAAAAAGTGAAAAAATTAATTAAATGCAACAAAAACAAATATTAAGTCCCTCGATGATTTAAAACATTTTTTTTTCTTTAATTCTCAAGTCCTTCATGTGCTTTTAATAAACTTACATTGATGCAGTTCAGGTGTTTGGAATCTACCAAGGATTTATTTTAAACCAAGTGAAGTCTCTTAAATTAAGTTTGCATCTTGTGAGTAAGTAATCTTTTTATTTATTAAAAAAAATTGTAGGTAGTTTGGACTAGGGCCTCATAAGATCAGGAAACCTGTACAATAAGTGCATGATGTTCATGAATACTCTTAGGATGATATGAAAAAGGGAGAAAAAAAATTCGTTTAGCAGATTTGAAGCACAATGACCTTCCTAGAATCATATCAGAATAGTCCAGGAAAATCTAATAGCGGGATAAAAGCTCAGTTTTGTTAAAATGACTGCGTTATGCGTCTGTTCCTAAATAGTTTTTAGTGACGCTGACCACAGAATATGCAGCTTGAATAAAGTCAGACAGTAAACAAAGACCCATTCATCTTAGATTTAGAAAATTGCTAAAAAATTTTAAAGAATAGAGGCGAGAACAAGACAATTAAAACCTATTATGCAAAAATATATATGTCTCTGGTGTTTTTTTCCTTTTAAGAACATACCTGTCCATCTCACAACAAGACTCAACTGTTTCATTGAATCCAGTAAAATATTATATAGAACTACACTGACAAATAAAATTGTATATGAAGAATGAAAATATTAGTAATATAAGTGGAACAGCATTTGTTGATGCAGTTCCTGAGCCAAACCAAGCATGTTATTTCAGAAATGTCTCGCCTGGACTAGATGCGCAAAGAAACGGCGAATGTTTGCTTTTTGCATTACCAATTCCTATAGAAATAGGATCCATAAGCAGTTTTCTTCTCCCCATTAAATCCTGTCATGCTCGTTTGTTTCACTCTTCCAGGACACCGTCTCCATGTCCTCTCCAGCCTTCCTTCTTTCTCTCTTTGTAAGTAGAAACCTTAATTTCACAATTTATATTCAGATTTGTAATTTTTTCTAAAATGCTGCTTTTCTCTTATTTTTCATGGTAGGACGGCGGCACCAGGGGGCGCCGTAGTGCCATTGAGGCTGACTTGAAGATGAAGAAGTGAAAATTGCTGATAAAACTCTTGGAAACCAAGTTTATAAAGCGAAAGAACATGGATGGGTGTTGGTCAGGGGGTCTACCGTGTGAATTTAACTTGATAACGTGATAAAGCATAAGCGTGGGAAAGCTCTGCTCTAAGACAGCCATCAAGATATGGATTATAGATCACTGTGGGGCATCCTGTGTGAGCAGGTCAAACGTTTCATCGATGTTGCTGCAGATCACTTAGACTTAACCTGCTTCCATCTGCCTGGAACAGTAAAAACCTGCAGAGATTTACTTCCTCACAATGTTTCAATAGCTGTGGTCCATATATAAGGATATTAGTTACCCCTTGCCTACAGTTTGGTTGTTTAGTGTTTTTAACTCATAAAAATGTGTGTGTGTGTGTGTTAGTGTAATATAAAACCAAAGGTCAGAGAGTCTGGGAAAAGGTCTGCTTCTTAAAGAGGCAGAGCTGAACGGCACATTCATCCCAACCGAAAGGCCTTTTGTGTAACTTTTCATTTCTTAACCTATTTTGAAAGTTTGTTTTCTTAAAATGTGTGTTTTTATTTTCAATTGTGTAGAAATAGCTTTCCCTTGGTGACACTTCCTGTGAAACAGTAACAATTTTGAAATTTTGTTTGGATTTATGTTTCATGTATCTGAGCAAATGCGATGGTACTTATTTGTTTTATGGACCAGAAATTGTTAGAACACAATAAAATTGTCCTGGAAGCAGAGAAAGGTCCAGTTCTAGTTGTGTTTAGTTTGATTGAATGACTGGATGGACTAAGAGATGGATGGTAAATGGATCAATAGGATTACAGGGGATGGATGGATAGTAAACAAATGCTTGGATGATGGATAAAATGTTTGAAGGATTGATGGAGGGATGAGGAGGAAAGGATAAGCGAATAGAAGAATGATGGCAGAACAAGTGAAGCCATAGTGAACAAAATGAATAAGGACTAGAGGGGTGGATGAAAAAATGTATGGATAGGCAGATAAAGGAAACTTTGATGGGTGGAGAATCTGGTTTAATGGAAACCTACTCATTTTTCCAGACCCTATCTTTTTTCTAGACATTTCCATATCTGCAAAGCTGTGATGCGCATGCCATAGAAAGTTTTAACATTTCCCCCCAATGCTAAAAAAGTCTTGGCAGCCAGACATTACATAAGCTTTAGTATCGGACAATTTAAAATCTTATCTTAATTTCTTAATATGCCATCAAACCCCATGCAGGTACACAGTAGCTGGATGAGAGGGTTTAGATTTTGACTGATCAACATTATGGGTTAGTGATTCTGACTCGTCTGGGAGGTCCTATAAAAAAAAAAAAAAGGAGATAAACTTTATGTGGAGTTTTGTTCAATTATTGCTACAAGGAATAAAACAGTATTCAACAGAAATTAATTACAACAAAATCCAATTTGAGAAAACTCTTGTTCAAAAAAGTTTGTAAGAGTAACTTTGCTGTTTTCTCAAGATTGTTTTTTTATATATACTTATAACCTTTTCTTTTACAAATTTTATCATTTCAAATGTTATTTTTATTCAGTTTTTTTTTCCATATCTAGTTTTATGAGTTGCATCCTCTCCACATCAAGATGACAAGCTGTCACTCTTGGTTAACCAATTAAAATGTTGCTAACTTCCATGCAGACAAATCTAAATGCGTCAAAAAGCTAAAAAAAAAAAAAAAAAAGAATTATTTGAACAAAATTAGGATAAAACAGCTGTTACTCTCAAAGCCTTTTTTTCTATTAAAATTGCCCTGGAATCCAAGGGGATCAAGCTTCCGTCAGTGATCCCCAGGGCAACTGTGGCTACTGTACAATGTAGCTTGCCACCATCAGTGTGTGGTTGAATGTCTGAATTTAGTGTAAAGCGCTTTTGTCAAGTCTCCAGACTTGAAAAAGCACTAAATAAGTACAAGGCATTTACTATTTATTTTTTAAATATAATTTCTGTATTACATTTTTTCACAGTTCCGTTTACAATGCATGTTCTTTGCTTACAAGAACAATGGAACGAAATGATCTCCATTTAGTAGCCACTAAAGTTTTAAATACAGGTAATGAGTGGTTTGCTTTTGCATTAGTGGTAAAAATAAGAGAAAGGGTCTTAATGAGCAAGGAAAAATAAAAGGTGTCACCATAGCAAAGGACAGCCGCACGAAATGACATCTAAATTAAATAGAAGTATTCTGTGACAAATGCACTCATTCATTTTGGGATAGGAGCTTCTTTAAACCCTCTTGAATCAGAGAATAGGCTGAAAATGTCGCTCAGCTTGAATCATCTCAATTTATCGCTATTCTGATACATAAAAAAAAAAAAAAAAAAAAGTTGACCTCTCATCCTACTTAATCAACATCAAATCAAAATTGCATAAAAAAGGACAGGCAACATTTCAGTACTGGTTCAGCTTTCATTTTAATGTCTTTTTGGCCGACAGCTTACAATTAAATCCGTAACATAACTTGCAGTTATACATATTAAAACCTAGCTTGTGTTTTTAAATGTTTGTCAGATAACGGTTTAAACCTGAATATTTTTGTCCATTCACATTTATTGTCAAATAATAAATATGCTATAGAAAACCCGAAAAAAGAACAAAGCTCTGGGATGCATGCAAACATCACTGTCTGGAGCACAGAGGATGAGTTTTAACTTAAAAGTGCTAAAAATCAACCTGAATATTTCAGTACCACAGCTAAGGCAATATGGCAGGCTAAGTGCATGACAATAGTTATAGTTTTAGAGATATTGTAAATTAGAATTTCGGATTAGTGTAAAAAAAAATATTTTTGGATGGTGTGACCATCCTGTTCGAGAAAATTAAACGACTCTGAATGTCTACAAAACAAACTGATTTTTAATTTGTTGTTTGAAAATCAGGCCCATCAGGTTGGATTTATTAAGTCTCCTTTATATAAGATGTGTCCAAAATAATGGGAAAACCATTCAATGAAAATTAATGCATATTTATTGTAACTGTGTCTTAAATAAGCATTGATACCCATTAAGTTTCTTTTTAAAAACTAACTGTTATGTTCATTTTTATTTGGCAGACCACAACTTACTCATAAATTAGAGGCAATCGGAGTTGCACAAATTTTTTCTGAAAATGTTTCCACACCTTTCAAGGCGTCTTTGTTAATTCTGGCAAGTCAAAGCTGTTATTTGACAGACCAGCACAAAGTAGTGAATGAGTGCAAAGTGGAAGGAAACGTGAAAAAAAAGGCAAATCTATTTATAATCAAATTCAGTTTAATCATAGTTTAAACTAGGGCTGAAACAATCAGATTAATCACGATTGATCGATTATTGAAATAATCGTTAACTAATTTAGTAATCGATTAATCATTAACTGGAGTATTGAGACTCTAAAACCTACCATTAGCCTACAGAGCAACCATAATTATACCAAAATTGTATAATAATAAATAAATAAATATCTATAAAGAACTTGTCCATCCGTCAATCTGCTCTATCCAGAATTCCTTAAGTGGAAAAGTTTTAGTTTCACCTGGTTTCATTTTGTAAAAAGTTTTCTTTAGGGAAGCTTCAGCTATCCGATTATCGATTAATTAAAAGAATAATCGTCAGATTAATCGATTTGCTAAATAATTGCTAGTTGTAGTCCTGGTTTAAAACTTTTTTATGTTTAAACTACGATTGTTTAGTGAAGGCTTTAAAAGGGAAGATAAAAAATAGCCCTGACTGAAAAGAACCATGTAGACTCAGAACAAACCGCTTCTGGAGAAATTTGTGGCAAAGTTAAAAGCAGAGTCAGGTTATAAGTCATGTAGTGACAGCAAATGTGGAAGACGTCCTGGTTCCAGGAGGCCTAAGCGACCTAAGCGAAAAGGTTTTGGATGGGATATTAGTAACGCTGCACATCACCCTGATCTCACCTTTTCCCCGGAGCCAGGCAGCATCATGCTGTGGGAACGCTTTTCTTTAGAGGATGGGAAGATGTAGTGAGCGTACCCTGGAGGACAATGTATTAAGAGGCGTCAAAAGGGAAGAAAATCATTTTTCATTGTGATGGTGACTCTATAAACGTAGAATCAGAGTGACGATAGAAGGGTTCGTATTGAGCAGATGCATGTGTTAGAATGTTAGAAATACGATCCCATCTGTGGCAAGACATAAAAATTAACTTTCAGTGCGAATCAGACTGATCTATTTTATGAAGAACAGGAACAAACGTCCATCTCTACATGTGCCAACCATTAACTAAAAGTTTGGAGCTGATCCCTGTCACACTTTACGGTTGTATTCAGAATCATTATCAACCAATCGAAAAGCAAGAACTATAAAAAAAAATAACTCATTGCCTCAAAATACATAACCTTCCTGCCTTTTTTCTTATTTTCTTTACAAATACGTACTACTTTGTTTTGTTCTATCACTTAAGATCCAATAAAAATACAAGTTTGAGGCTATAAAGTGACAAACTGATGAAAATATGGATACTTCTGCAAAGCACTGTGTGATATAGCTGTATGCATACTGCCATAGCTCCCAGTGACAATCAGGAAACGTGTGCACATCGGAGAATCAAAGACTTTTCACACAAGAATACTTTTTGTTTCTTTACACAAGAGTTTTGAAATGCAGCCTCAGAATGAGCTGTAATAAATTCTTGTACAACCATTAGTGCTTTTTGAGGCAAAAAACATTTTATTATAAGAAGTGCAGAAGATTTAATTGCTCCATCTCAGTTTGGAACACCTAAAATGTCCAATGTGACTTTAGCAATACACGTGTGCTGATTTGTCCAAACACTGCAGTATCATTTAGGTCTCTGCACTAATTTCCTAAAGAAAATCATGACTAACATTCACCCTGTTATCTAACAAATAAATACATCTAAAATTTCAACAAAGACACAAGGAAACAAACTGTAACCTGAACAGATAAAACGGTGTTTCCCAAACATACGCCGCCCCTTTTAGCCCCCAGGGGAGACTGCATATGACATGCCACTTCTATAAGAAAGTTTGACGGCTGTGAGACATCATACACCCTGCCAGAGGGAGTTTGCACCCCCTGCTGCTACACCGCCACTGTGCGACTCCTTATTTTCCTACCGCCCAAGAGAAGGCACGTTGTTTCCACAGGCGCAATCTCCCCACTGGCTGCACTGCACAAAGTGGCCAGAAAGGGCAAATTACACACTTGGCTAAAGAAACGTCTCCTCCTCCAACACTGTCCTCATTTCACTCTCAGGCGGCCAACCAGTCGCTGCAGTTTCTCACAGTTATCCAGCCTCATGGACTCGGCCTTCTGCTTTAACCGCTCATCCCGGTAGAGCTGTCCCAGGTTTGCCAAGTCTGATTCTGTAAAGAAAGACAGACAAACGTGGATATGAACCACAAAAACATTATCGCTTTTGTTGGTTTTACCTTCATTAGTGCAAAGAAACATCCAATAACTTTAGAAAATGCGGCTGTAACTGTTTAGAACTCCAATCTGGGACGTAAAGACGACTTTCCCCAAACATGCAGATAACAACAGCTGGACAGTTTCAGTTTTTTAATTCAAGCTTGGCAACAAGTAATCTCTCATTTTAGGGACTCTAAAAATCTATACCAATACCTAATTTACAGTGATGTGGGGAAAACAAAATGTTTTGCTTGTTCAAGCAACTTAAGCAGAAAAAGTGTTGCTCCCTAAGTGATGAATTGAATGTAAAAGAACATTTCCACTGTAATATCAATAAATAATAAAAGTAATAAAGAATGTTAAAAAAAAAAGAGTTTTTATCCATCAAAACGCAATCCGACAAAGCAATTTTGTACATTTCATTTTTAATATATCAAAAGATGGGACTTTTTCCCCAATGTTTACATTCCTTTAAGTCAGTTTGGTTTGCAGCAGTGGAGGTTCTCGAATAAAAGGCTCTAAATCACCGTCAAAGACGCAACTGCTAACCTCACGGTGGGGAGTACAGTTTTTTATTTGTTTATTTTCTCAACTCTGTGACTTATTATGCTATTTTTACACATTTTTCCAAGGTCTAAAGGCCATAACTTGACTAAGTCATTGCAATACTTTAATCCTGTCCTTAAAAAGTGAGTAAGGATGTACCTGTGTGATTTTTTTTGAAGCCATAACTGTAGCCTTTCAGTTTCCTTTCCATTATTAAATACTATTACTCATCTGACAGTGTCATTATCTGGGCTAACTAAGAAGTTGAGCAGGATGCTGGCTTACTTTGCTGCTTCTCCTTCCAGCAGCTGCTCTGTAGGTGTTCGATATAGTCACTCTCGATGTTTTTCTCCAGTTCTTCCAGCGTGGCTCCTCGGTACTCCTTCTGAAAGCTTTTGTCCACATAATACGGTACGCCCATGTGCTGCGTTTCTCTGGACACCACCAGCCCCATCGCCCTGATATCAAAAGAGAAAAAAAAACACCAATTCAGATGCTCTCCCTGGATCTAGGGTGGAAAACCTGGAGGAGCATTGAAAATATCATTATCATAAACTCACGGCTTGTAGAATAGACTGTAGGGCGGATTAGTGGCCATCATCTGAGTAAAAACCGATATGAGGATCAACACCAGCACGGGGAGAAGCTGCAGCAGAGCTGTGAAGGTGTTCTGTGGGAAGATGGAATCAGCAGAGACTGTGAAACATGTACTCCTTCTACTGCATTACATCAGCAATCCTGATGTCATCTTTTAATCCACCTGCAGCTGTGAAAAACATCCAGTTCATCAGGACTTATCGCTGCTTCTCCAGGTAAAGACAACATCATGCCACTGCAGCTGTAATGAAGGGATCATGTTTATCTTGAGAGAGCAGCTAACCTGGCTCTGGTTTTCCTCCACCACCTCCTCCCGCCTTTCCTGAGCCCGTCGACGACGAGGTTGGTAGAACTGAGAGTAGGAGGCGCCCTGGTTGGTGTATACATGAACATTTCCTGCAGAGAATCAAACGATAGAGAATGCTCCTGACGGGGAAACAAATGCCACCTCTTCAAATAGCCCTCCACACACACACACACACACACCTGTGGGAAATCTTCCACCAAAGAAAATGTTGAAGAGCTCCTCAGGTGAAATGTCGGCCTCAAAGTCTCTATAAAAGCTCCGGTAGTGTCCGGGTCGGCTGTGGCCGGAGTGATGGGGTACGTTAGAGGGTGGACACTGATCTCCGTACTGATCGTACTGCTGCCTCTTCTCTGGGTTACTCAGCACTGCGTATGCATTACCGATTGCTAGTGGGAGAAACAGAGAAACATTGATATCCAGCATAAAAATTAAGCTTGGTCTAATTGGACCTGCTGATCCCTCTTCCTGACAGCAGTGTGCCCAATTACTGTGACTAGAAATCATCTAAATTGTCTAATTCTACTACATGCCTTCCACCATCTTTTCTGATGCTCCTAAAGATAGTTGGAGAAAGCCTCATTAATAACTGGTTGCATAAAAACCATTAAAATCCTACTTCTCACCTATATAGCCGTAAATGGCTGTGACAGCCTGCTGTGACACTCTGAAGCTGTGTGGTAACTTTTAAATTTTTTCATTTTCAACATGAGTTGCACATTTCATATATTTTCATAAGCCTGACTTTGAGTTAGCTTTTTGCAGCGCACACATTTAGTTAACTTAATTTGTCAGGTTGTTGATTGATTGCCAGTTTCCTCGGGATCTGCTGGTGGAGGGCTGCAATTAGCTCCAGCTTTCCTCAATTGGTTATTGCAGGCTAATCAGCGGATCAAACCATTTGTAATGGGAAGGGACATTTATTTTTTTATCATTTGTTTAAATATTCTTAGTTTGGGTAATTTTGTTAATTAGTTAAATAAAAAAAAATATTTAGTGTCTGGCCAGTATTTATCTGTTTAAGTTAATTTGTTTATTAGTTTGTTAGTCAATTATCCAGCTTGTGTGTCAACAGTGGTTTGATCAGCCACTATTTAAGTTTCCCTTATGTCCTGTTTGTTTGTGCTTGAGTTCTTTATTTTAAAGCCTGAATTGAATTCTTTTTTGTTGACCTCTGTTTTTGGGCCTAGTTTATCATTTTTTGAACACTTTTGGAATAAATTAAGACTTTTTTTTGAAAAATTTCATTGGTTTTCTGGCTGGTTTGTGCAAATCCCTCACAATGGCCAAGCTCCATCTTATATCAGAGATCTGATTGTTCCTTATGTTCCTAACAGAGCACGTCACTCTCAATCTGTAAGTTTACTAGTGGTTCCTTGAATTTTTAAAAAGAGAATGGGAGGCAGATCTTTTAGTTATCAGGCTCCTCTCTTGTGGAACCAACTACCAGATTTAGTCCGTGAGGCAGACACCCTGTCTACTTTTAGACTGAAGTTGTCAGATGCTCTCTTGGAAGTTGTTGTGATTGAATTTCATTAAACTTTTAAGCCTTTCAGTATAAAATAAATATTCTTATCAAGATGAGAAATCTGCTTCCTGGTATGCTTAAGTACCAATAGTTTCCATCCAATAATTTACTTAAACGGTCTTAGTTTTTGGTAATATACAAGATTTATGCTCTAATTTGTAGTTACCAATCTATCGTTACCATATTTTAATTTGACAAACAGGGTCTTTTTAACGTTCTTTTTCCTGTTTGGTGGGATTGCAATTGCGGGTCTTGACCTGGCCGGACCGGATCAGAGCAAAAAATAGTTCGGCTCGGTATTTCGACGGTGATGGACGGAGAAGACATAAGTAGACGGTGACGTGCAGAGGAGTGGTGGTGGATGTGGAACAGTTGTCATTGATTAACATGACAGACAAGTACTTTGCATGATGTACGTGAGTGGGGAGGAGCGGAGGGCTGACAGAGGATGTGGAATCTGGGGGTGAGTCTGGTTCTGCTGGAGGTTTCTTCTTGTTGAAAGGGAGTTTTTCCTCTCCACTGTCGCTACAAGCACGCTTAGTGTGAGGGATTGCTGTCCAGTCAATGAGTCAATGCAATCAGCTAGTTTCCTTAGATAGAAAACTTTGAATCAATTTGACTGGATGATCTGGTTGAATTGTACAGTGCCTTTAGATGACGTTTTGTAAATTGGCGCTATATAAATAAACTGAATTAAAGTGCATAAGTTGGTCTTTACTTATGTGTTTTATAACGCCCTTAGTAACAGAATTACGTCATCTGTAACAGAGTAATCCAACTGATTACCAAGGTTATTACTGTAAAGTAAAACTAACGAAATGACGTAAACTAGAATGAAAGAATATTTTAGTTAACAGTTAAGAAATAAAAATGAAAACTAGACCTTGACAAATAAAAGGAAAAGTGAAAGCGTAAAAAGAGTTTATAAAACCTATCCAAACCAAATTAATTTTCCGACAGAATATGCTTAATTTCCCTTAGTTATTTTATAATACGAGTTCTGGTTTCCAGTTTCTTTTTTTCCCACAATACCACATTACCAGCAGACGGCAGGTACGGCATTCATGTCCGCCATGGAAAACTGACCGCTCTTATAGTCCCTCTGACACAATGATGCTTTTAGGTACCGAAACATGTTACTGTTTAATTTTACCTGGTGGTACTGATGGAATTTGGTCAGTGTCTATAAAAGTACATAATTCGGTACCCATCTCTGCAAGTAATGCAGACGAGTATTCAGCCTGTAATTGTTGCTACATTCACACTGCAGCCTGAAGTGACCAAAACCTGATTTTTTTGCCCATATGCGACCTGGATCTGATCTTTTAATGGCAGCCAATTTTTCCCAATTCGACCCAGGCCACTTGGTTATGTGGTCCTGAACCCGATACGAATCTGATCTTTTCAAATGCGACCTGTGTCTGAACGGCCACGGCATTAATACTTGACAAAAGTCACTATTCTGCATCTTGCTACGCAGAAGCGGCAAGAAAAACAACAACCATGGCAGATGATGATGCGGAGAGCAGTATTTATGTTTAACCATGTGAAAAGATTGAGTTTTTATGGTTGGAAAAGACAGCTAGATGCACGCCGGCACTACCATCAATCTTTACTTCCGTAAACACAGAGCACACTGGCCTGTGACATCATTGCGTCCTCTACTGCGCATGCGGGACACTTGCGTTGTATGACTGCAGTTCACACAGGAGATCACACACAAGTCGCATATATTAGGCAAAAAAAAAAAATCGGATTTCACAAAAAAATCGGAATTGAGCATCAAGGCCTGCAGTCTGAACTTAGCCTAAGAGGGAAACTCGAGGTGATGGTGGAGAGATCTGCAGATTCAATCACAGGTTCCAAAACTGCAAGTGCTCTCCTTTTTTTGCTCATTATATCCAGGAGCAAAGATTTTACCCACTAAGCAGCTTTAACCTAATGAAGCACCTCACATCGTTTTAACAACACTAACTTACTAATGGCTGCCTTAGTTTATCAATATGTTGATCCTTACGTCCATTATTTTTGTTGTTTTTCCCTGGAACAATGACTCCAGTTTAGTATTATCACAAATTATACTTCTTTTTTAAATTTTAGTATTATTGTTATTGTAATGCCAGATGAAGGCCATTAATGGGCATAAATATCAAGTTCTTAAAGATCTACTTTACTTTATTTGGCTATAAACCAAACAGCGTAGAAGCACTTTTGTGGTCAATAACATCATAAGGACTTGATGGATAAATGCTCTTAATTCCTTACTTACAACAGGAAGTCTGTCCTTGTGAACACAAACATTAAAAAACATGATGCAGCATTTCATCTACTGTATCCTAACCTACACTTAGCACTGCTGTCTAAAAGGAAGAGCCACTGAACAGAGTTAAAATGATCTGATGTTTTCAGATATTAGCAAAAAAAAAAAAAAAAATATATATATTATTTTTTTCCCCCCAAAACTGTACATATGCTTTCCATCTTTCAGCTTTCACTTTATTTCCGTTTATTAGGCATTATTTGCTAAATAATGATATGTTTAAAAATGCTTATTGTGCTCGCTAAGTAATAAATTAACTTTAAATATGATTAGGCTCACTATTTGGCAAGAAACCGCTCTGTTTAGTCTGTTTTTTGCCCTTAAATGATAAACACTTATGAATGAGATATCAAGTGTTTACAGAATAATGAATAACATGTCTATAAACTATTAAACCATAGCTACCTCTTATTCAAAGTGGTACCATGTTTATTTACATTGCAACCAAAATTTACAGTCAATTATATTTAAATTTGATGTAACAGACCACCACAAAATGTATAATTGTGATGTTTTTACAGATATTTATAAATAAAAATTTTAAAAAGCAAGACATGCTTTTCTTTTTAGCCAATAAAGTCGAGCAGACCCAAAATAATCTAACAGGTAAATAGAGAATAGGTCAAATCCATTCTTTAAGATAAGATAAGAGCAGCAAGGAGAAGACATTATTGAAAGAAATGCTTTCTTGGGAGACTTTGTGCATTAAAAAAAGTGAAAAGATGAAAACAGGAGCCATACGGAACATTCTCACTAGTAACTGTAAAATGAAGGCTACATTTTTTTAAACCAAAAAACCCTCAACTCTCTGCAAAGCAAACCAAGGCATAGGGCTGGGCGATAGGACGAAACAAATCTACGGACGATAAAAAAGTGTATATAGCGCTAATTCTATTCTATCGTTTCTAACACAATTGTATCTCATATTCAAGCAAATATTTCCCATGGTAGACTATGACAAACATATTAGTGTAGCCACGTAGCCTACACACAGCTTATAATTGATAAAAAGATTCCTGTGGTTTTGCAACATGACGTTTCTTTACGGCTTTTGACTCACATGTGGGTTTGCGACATGCTTTATGTTACTTAATCATGAGAGATGGAGACGCAGGAGGCTGAAGTGTTAAACTTGTGTTTGCAACAAATAGTGACAGCTACGCAGGCAACCCAAGATGAAACACTTTTACCAAAAAGAGTGCACAGGTCTGTGATTTGGTTACATTTTGGATTTTAGAAGTCCAACACGAAGCAGACAAAGGTCATTTGCAAACTATGTTACAAGACTGGTCCTACGTCGACAATGTCTCCTTTACGTTTGCACTTTTTTGATAGCTGATGCCTTAAACAGTTTACAGTTATATTCAACCCTGATTTATTTAATTTTGATCGTTTATTTTGCTATTATGGTATGCAAACTTTGCACTACAAGGTTACAGATTTCAGAAACTTGAAAAACTATTTTTTTAACTATCTTTTGTTCAAAATGTGTGCTTTTCTACTCAGAAACTTAAGAAACTAAAAATTAGTGCACTTTGATTTATTTATTTGGGTCATTTAATTTGAATACCTGTAGGATTTTGAAAAAATGTGAAGGATACTGTAGCCATACCCCCACCTCATCTTATGCATACATATTGTTGCACTACAATCTATTTTTCTAGTTTGTGACAGTTCTATAAATGTCACTTCAAAATAAACTTGAAAAAGTAAGCAATTATATTGTTTTGTCATTTTTTTCAGAGATTTGCTAAAAATGTACTTAATTGGGGCATATCTATCATTATTGTGATAAAAAATAGTCCATATCATGATATATGATTTTTTCCATATTAACCAGCACTACCAAGGCAAATTCATTTAGTAGAATGGCCTAGTCAAAGTCCATACCTACATCCAGATGAGTATTGAAGTTTTTCAAAGAAGAAACACGCAAACATCTTGAATTTAAATGGATGCCTAATCTTTTCAATTTTTATTTGGGAAAATCTAAATCTTAAACCATAGAATCATCTCCTCTAACGTCCTGTAGGTTCATCACACAATACTCCAATTAATGGAAGTTTGTGGTTGTGACAAGATATGAACAGGGTTCATATGATAAGAACATTTTTGCAAGGCACTCATTAAAGCACAAAAACTTATATACATTTTTATAAAGTGTTACGGATGTTAGACAACTAAAATGACATCTGACCCCAAAACAATCGTTTTGTGTTGTGTTTTGTGGAGTACCTTTGAAAGCATCTGTGGCCCCTGGGGCAAAGTTCTTGTCTGGGTGAAACTTCAGGGCCAACTTCCTGTACGCCTTCTTCAGATCTTCATCACTGGCACCTTTGTCAACGCCGAGGATTTCATAAAAGTCTTTGCAGTTTTTTATTCTGTGGTAACAAACATGCTGGTTGTTAGAAAAGCAGCATGGGGGACTGTGGGAAGAAGATTGAAGTTTTCCAGAGTTTACCTGAACACACCCTGTCGCTGCTCCTCAGTGTAGGTCTTCTTTTCATCAGAATTGGCATTCCTGGTTTCTTGGTTTCCAAGGTCCTCGTCTCTCCAGCCTGAGGGCGGAGGAACGTGGTTGGCTTCTGAGGACGCACTGCCTCCATTTCTCAGAATGGCATCTATCAGCACTGAAACCAGCAAAAGAAGTGTTTGCATTCAACAGTGAATGAGTCAAGAAATCAGATAAGACAGATATGAATAAAATAAAATAAAAGAGAATCAAAAAACATTTTTATGTGCTTTTAAATGTAAGTTTTTATCAAATTAACACTTATCTGGTAATGCTTAAAGCTATTAAACAACACTGGTCAGGGGCCTAAATACACTCACTATAGGTATGAATTGGATTATTGTATTTCCTTTAAACAACAACTCAGTGCAGAAGTTTCTCTTTTTTTTCAAAAAGACCCACAAAGACCCAACAACTTATAACCTGGAAGTGCTAGAACCTACATAACTGCTTACAGTTAAGCAGGTTTTACCATCAACAAGAACAAAGAAGCTGAAAACCAAAAAGGAAAAAAACTATTAATATTTTGAGGCATGTATGAAGTTTCTAACCACTCACATATAAAAGCCAAAGATCTTCTGAAGGCAAGATTTAGGGTCAGACGAGACGAAGATTAAGCTATAGAGACAAGGGGAGGCTTCCAAATCTAAGAACTGTTAAGCACGGTGGAGGTGGCATTATGCTTGGGGATAATATTGGACAAAGTAGTGGGAATAGAGAGCTACTTGCTCATTCTTGAACTTAAACTTAATGTTCCTAATAAGTCTAGACTTAAATCCAGTTTGTGTCAGGAAACCAAACCTTTTATTAGAACTCTACAATCTATGATGAAGATTAAAAAAAAAGAAAATCATGAAAAACTGGTTGCAAACTAAAAACTGTGTTCAACTTTTTAACCACCCATTAAAGAGCATTTATAAACAAAACACATGAGGTACATAGGGAAATCTATATTAAGTTTTGACCAGAAAAAATAAATTTAGGAAATTTATTTCAATCTAAATCTTGTCTCTTAAAACTATTTGAATTTGTACACTGTAACATCCCAGACTGATGGAAAACGCTGCAACAAATGGGAGATTATGCATTTAACTGATATATTAAGAAATGTAAAACCATTTTGTGAAATGTATATCATAGACTTTTATCAATAAGGATGTGAAAGTTGTATAAATTCAATGAAAAAATTGTAACAAACTGCTGGACATTATGAACGATCACCAGCCACCCTCTGCACACTGTCTTCACCACTCAGAGGAGCCTGATCAATGAGAGATTGCTCCTCCCCAAATGCAGAATCAACAGACTGCTGAACTTCTTTGTTCCCAAAGCTATCAAGCTGTACAACTCCTCACTTGGGGGGAGGAGGAGGTGATAAGAAGAGGGACAAGGGTCAGCACCCCCCTCCTTGGACACCTTGTGCAAAACATCACCTATTGTCACCCATGTGCAATATCCTTCTCTCTCACTGTGCAGTAACACATGCCAACTACTGTGTAGTCTCTGTAATTTTTTACTTATATATATATATAC